TTTTCTCCCGTGTGAGTCCTCTGGTGTGTTACTAGACTGGAATTATGGCTGAAACTTTTCCCACACTCAGGACATTCATACGGTTTTTCTCCCGTGTGAATCCTCTGGTGTGTCACCAGGTTGTAATTCCGTCTAAAATGTTTCCCACACTCAGGACATTCATATGGTTTCTCTCCTGTGTGAGTCCTGTGATGTGTCATGGGGATGGAATTCTTACTGAACCCTTTCCCACACTCTGAACACTCATATGGTTTCTCTCCTGTGTGAGTCTTCTGATGTGTCACAAGGCTGGTGATATTCTTGAGGTGAAATATATATTTACTGGAGCTTTAATTCCAGCTGTTTTCCTCCTCACAGGGCCAGGCCTCCATCACAGTCTGCCCTATGTGGCCATCCAATAGACCTTTTTCTCCCTGCTGACTTTCAGAGATATCCCTTTTTCTGAATGAAATACAATCTCCCTTGATCTTTCATGCAGTGTATTCTTGAGTTTCTCACACTCTACTTTTTCTTGCTTGAATTCTCTTAATTTTCTCTGCTTTTCTCTCAACTGCTGGGAAAGGAGAAGAATTTTGTGGTTTTCTGAAGGAAATGGAAAATGTTTTGATTTCTTGCTGGCTTTGTTTTTTTCCCCAGTGTTGCTTGTTCTCAATTTTCCAGAGTGGTCTTATTGCCATCCTCTTTGTCTGTAAGATTCAAAGAAACATGTAACTTTAATTCTTTATAAAATAGTTGCTGAAGATGTGAAAAAAAGAAAAAAGTATACATTACAATAAATAAGCAAACATGCCACAATAAGGAATAACCTCTTACATTAGTTATGATTCATTTGACACATTTGTGTCCAGGTTCAAATATGCATTCAGTCATGAAATTCTCTTTTTCACTTTGGTGATTCACAAATTCTTAGCAGTGCAAAGCCTTATCATGAACTATATCTGGAAATACTGGGGATACATTGTACAGATGTAAATATATGCATACAAAGAGAAATACAGATATACATGCCTCTCTGTATGTATGTAGAAAATGCATGTGTTTTAGCCTGAAAATTATCCCAAAATGATCCTAGTTGAACCTTCTGAGCTAATTGTAGAGATTGTGGGTTTTTACGTGATGAAATTATACGTAAACCCTCTGCAAGATTTCAAGTACAGTTTTGCCCATGGAAGTCCTCAGCTCCAAGTAAGGGCAGAATATATTTTTCACAACCACTCTGGTGACATCCTAATTGAAGTAGTGCTCACTTACTGACTGCAATTGGGACTAGCATCTGTGTTAGTAAGCAGCCCAATTGTTAAGCATTATGTCATATGACAATGCCAACTTACATACCATGTTTGTTGGCTTTACAGAAAGGGAATGCTGTGTAAGTGAAGGTGGAAAGACACAGAAAAATTCTGTGCCTTAAATCAGTGGTTCCCAAACTTTTTCAGTCCAGCACCCACTTGGTGCTACAAACTCATCCTCAGTGCCCCCCACCCAGGGGTGGGATTCAAATTTCTGTGGGCATGGCCTAATTTGAGGCCGTGGCCTGCTGGTCACGTGACTGTGGTGGCCGTGGCCTGCTGGTCACGTGACTGGGTGGACATGGCCTGCTGGTCATGTGACTGGGGTGGGCATGGCCTGCTGGTCACGTGACTGGGTGGGCATGGTTTGGTGATTGGCAAACCAAATACAAGTGGTCCTCACTTAATGGCAGGTTGCTTAGCAAGTGTTCTAATTTATGACTGGCCTCCCTAGAGCTACTTGACCTGGTTTTGGAGTTTTGACACCCATGCACACACATACACACACACTCCCTTCTAATCCTGCTGGAGCAGGTCATTGGACTAGAATCAGCAAAGCATCTCTGATTAGATTCTAGGAGTGAATAGAATCTAATCAGAGATGCTTTGCTGATTCTTGTTCATTTGTTTTATGTCCGAGCGGAGCGGTGCACCAAATCAATGGGGTGAGCCTGAGAGAAGGAAAGAGAGAGAGAGAAAAGAAAGAGAGAGGTAAAGAGAGAGAGAGAAAAGAAAGAAGGAAGAAAAGAGAAAAGGGAAAGAAAGAAAAAGGACAAAGAAAGAGTGGGGGAGGGAGGGGAGAGAGAGAGACAGAGAGAAAGAGACAGAGAGACCTGATGCATCAGATTGAAATGAGGTCTAGTTTAGAGGCCCTTTACCACACTGAAACATCTTTGTGAGCATCTTTGCCCAGCACATTGAAACATCTTTGGCTTCTATTACAGTAATTAAAGGTTTTGTGGATGAAACATGGCCAAGACTATCAGGAAGCTCTCACATTTTGTTGAGGGTTAAACAGGATCCATTGGACCAGACCTCCACCCTAAAAAATTACTTTTCTCCAATGTATTACGGTGCCAATTCTGAAGAAGGCAAAACCAAAATGTACTGGTAAATTACAAGAACACACACAAACACACACACACTCCCTTCTAACCCTGCTGGAGCAGGTGATTGGACTAGAATAGATATCTCATTATCTTTCTCCTCCCTCCCTCCCTCCTTCTTTATTTTCTTTTCTTTCTGTCCCTTCCTTCCATCCCCCACTCTTTCTTTGTCTGTCCCATTTTCTTTCTGTCCCTTTTCTCTTTCTTTTCTTTCTCTCTCTTTCCCTCTCTCAGATTCACCCCATTGACTGCTGCATGCTCTGGTGCAAGGGGCTTAATGGGGTGAGCCTGTGGGGCCTCGCCTCAAGTGCAGCTGCGGTGGGATGTTTGAAAAGGAGAGCAAAGCCACTCTGGCTTTCCTCCCCTTTTCAAACATCCCGCTGCCGCTGCGTTCAAGGCAGATGTCGGGAAAGTGGAGGAAAGCCAGAGTGGTTTTTCTCCCCTTTTCAAACATCCTGCCGCCGCTGCGTTCAAGGCAGGCATGTCGGGAAAGTGGAGGAAAGCCAGAGTGGTTTTTCTCCCCTTTTCAGACATCGTGCTGCCCTTGCATTCGAGGAGAGGCCCCGCAGGTTCACCCAATTGACTGCTGCACACTCCAATGCAAGGGGCTCAATGGGGTGACCTGTGGGGCCTCACCTTGAACACAGCAGCGGCGGGACATTTGAAAAGGAGAGCAAACCCACTCTGGCTTTCCTCCACTCCTGCCACCACTGTGTTCGAGGCAGGCATGTCGGGAAAGTGGAGGAAAGCTGGAGTGGGCTTGCAGAGTGTAAGTCACTTAGATCAGATGGTGGTAGGAAGGAAAGGCAGGCGGGCGGGCTGGCTGGTGCTGGTAGCAATGGTGGGCGGGTAAATGGGAAACGAGCGCACATGCACTACATAAGGAGAGACTGGGCGGGGCAGGTGGGAAATTCTGTCACTGATTGTTGCGCATGCGTGCAATGTCATGCATGCGCAATAAGGACTGACAGCAGAAAATGGAGGAGGGGGCAGGGCCAGCCAGGGGTCCTTTTTGCTAATTTTTCAACCTACTGGAACGGTAACAACAGTTCTTGCGAACTGGTAAAATCTCAACCCAGAATTGTACCCTGGGAGGGGCCCACCACCAGCACTCCCCTGCTGCCTTCTTAGCACCACCCTGCCGGCCTCCTTGCCTCTTACCGCCCCCCTAAGTCTTCCCACCGGCCCCCAGGGGGCGGTACTGCCCACTTTGGGAACCGCTGCCTTAAATAGACAGAATTTTGAAAAACCTTGAGAATTGGAAAGGGAAGATGGTAATGGAACAACTAAAGGAAGCAGGACTGGGTCAATAGAATATAAATTAAAAACTCTCCACAGGGCATTTTATTCCAACAACTGAAGCCTCTTTGGAGCTCAACCAACCTGCCTCTTGTGCACATCAGTCTCCCTTCCTCAAAATGCTCTGCAGGCATTTTGGGCAAGACATCCCAAGCCTTAACCTTTCACTTAACCTGAAATGTTTTCATCTTTCTCAATACAGTGCATTCAGAAAGTATTCAGACCCCCTTTACAGTTGTCAATTTTGTTATCCTGCAGCTAAATTTACAGACATTTCTAAAATTTTGTTTTCACTTTGTCATGTACAGGAAAAATGAACGTCAACAAGCAAAAATCTGGCTGATTTAAAGAAATCAAGATTTCTTTAAATCTCCCAAATCTGCCAGCAGAAAAATCTCGGCTGCAGTTTTAAATCGTGCAGCAAAAGGATAAAAACGTTTGGGGAGAGAAAGACTTTGCTGCAGCAGCCCGCATGTTTCCTTCCTGTCCCTTCGCTGCTTCCAGGCCGTGGAGGAACCCAAAGGGCCCGACTTGCTCCCGGCTTCTCCTCCGACCTGCCCTCCACTCACCTCCCAGGAGCCGCTTCGACCCTCCAAGCAGCACAAGAGGCTCCGCCGACGCCATCAACCTCCCGTGGCTGAGCCGGAAGAGGAACTCCCCCTGTCATCCTCCTCCGCATCCTCTCTAGCAATCTAATACTCTATCGTTTCAATTCGTTCCCAGCTCGGGCTCTCTCCCTTCCGGTGTAATGTCAATATTAGCGATGCCGCTGCTGTGCTCTTATTCTCTGCTTTCCAGGCGCGAGTGTTGCTTCTTTGTAAAGCGCCATCTAGCGACATAAGGTTGAAATTCATCCTCGTCGTATCTCTCACCCTGCCGTGTTCGCAAGAGGCTTTCATGGGTTCCGTCCTTCTTTCGGTGCTATCGAATCTTATTCGACTCCCACCGAGCACAGGAATAGCTTTCGTCCATGACAATCTATCCTATATCTTTTCTTTCAGGTCTCCCAAGAGTGCACGCTCATTTTCCCTCTTGCTCGAATTAAAGGAAAGGAAAGTGTCCTAGGAGGGGAACGAGGTATAATACGCAACCTGAAAGTGATCCTGCCATGGGGGCTGGTGAAGATTGTTCCAGCCACTTTGACATCTGGGGACATGCAGGATAAGTCTTCAAAACCTGCCTTGGCAAATGATTGAAGCTGTAAAAGTGAAGCTGTTGAATGGAAGGCTCTAGCCCTAGTCTGTCCTTTGGGGTCTGGTAGGGATGCCCTCATTGTCACTCCAACTGAGCCAGGAGCTTCTTTTGCAACCAAGCAAAGCACCCTTGGGCGTGGGGAGAACACAATGCTTCATCAGAAGGGACAAAGCGCACCTCCCTTGAGGATCAGTGAAGAATATTCCAGCCAGTTTTCTCTTGTGGGGGGGCAGGATAACTCCCCAAAACTATATTTGCAACTGAGGGAAGCTTGAAGAGTGATGCTTTCCCCTGCTCACCGTCACAAGACAGAGATAAAAGTCTTGTTTGTATGTGCAGCCTTAAACAATTGCCAGCTTCATGCCATTGATAAAAGAGTGAAATACAGGACAAAACCTTGAAGTGCCCACCCACTTTGCTTCCAAACTCATCTAAATAGGAGATATTATTTTTCTCTCTGCATTCTTGCAGCTGGAACTGCCCAGATTACCCTCAGTAAGCAACGCGGTTTAATCTCTACATGAAATCTCTAGGAGAGGCCATCCATCCTATCCAATTATATACAGGTAGTCTTTGATTTAAACCACTTCATTTAGTGACCAGGAATTGGGGATCCCTGATCTAGATAGTGATTTATCCTTTCAAAGCACTTGGGGAAAATGGACCTCTCCCCCCTCCCTTTAAAAAAGCCCAGTCAAAACACTATCATCCATGCACCAGGCTGAAGTTAGTAAGTTCTGAAGTGCTCCAAAGTATATTAAAATACTTTCAGAAATCCTTACAAAAAAGAGAACCTGTGAAAGTGGAGAGAGTCAGAGAAATTCTATGCTTTATATAACCATGAAACCTGCTACTATAGCCTATGTCAATAATTTATAGTTTAGGACTCACTATAATTTATATTTTTTTAAAGTTTTTATTTTTTACACATAGACATGACGTAAACAAAAAACACAAAACCATTTTTAAGTTACATACAGTGTGTCTATTGGTACAAATCTCTTGTGCATAAACTCTATAGTTTTATAGTCTTTTTATGGAGTCAGTTTCTATATCTGGTTTCTCTCTCATAAGGTTATCAAGTATAAAAAAAACAATCAGAAAAATGTACAGCTCTCTATTTTTATAAGTGTATAAAACCATGTGTGTGGAGGTGTTGTCTCGTGTCACATCCACCATGGCCATGCCCACCACCCAGGCCTTCAATGGAGAGGTGCGTTCCTTTCCAAATCATGTCCAATCAATTTTAGACTCAAATCAAGGTGTAGAACCATGTCAGCAACAATCAAGGGAAATGCGACGCACCTGAACTAAATTTCAAGTGCTGTTGCAAGGGGTCTGAATACTTATGCCAACGTGATATTTCAGTTTTTTTTTTTCCTTTTACTAAATTTATAGACTATGTAGATTAAGGAGGGGGAAAATGAAGTTAAACAACTGTAGAATCAAGCTGCAGCATAACAAAATTGACAACTGTAAAGGGGGGTCTGAATACTTTCTGAATGCACTGTATTGAGAAAGATGAAAACATTTCAGGTTAAGTGAAAGGTTAAGGCTTGGGATGTCTTGCCCAAAATGTCTGCAGAGCATTTTGAGGAAGGGAGACTGATGTGCACAAGAGGCAGGTTGGTTGAGCTCCAAAAAGGTTTCAGTTGTTGGAATAAAATGCCCTGTGGAGAGTTTATATTCTATCGACCCAGTCCTGCTTCCTCTAGTTATTCCATTACCATCTTCCCTTTCCATATTTTCAGGTTTTTTTTTCAAAATTCTGTCTATTTAAGGCACAGAATTTCTCTGTC